TGACTTGTGTCGCTAAAGTTTCGTCGGAACGAAGTTACGGAAAGTTAATTAACAAACTGAGACGTAACAATAGATAGTAATGGACAAATGTTTTATCTGCGAAAATAATCTAAGTTGTCTAAAAATGAGAATAGAAATGTTTTAAAGCGAGACTACAGCACTTAGATTAAAAAACTGATGACAATGTGCGTGTGTTACTGTTAGGCTGACAGTAAGTTACACGTTGGAAAGCGTTTTTTGTTGTTGTTTTATTTTAGGCTATTACATCATTAGCTTTAATATCCGTATGAAGTTCATACTTTTCAAATTATGTTTTATTACAGTTTTTTTTTATTTTACCTAATTATTTTATTACTTCAGTTTTCAGTTGTCTTTTCATTTACCAAATGCACGTGCACTAATCAGTTATTAATTTTACGTTCGTCAGGTTTTATAAACAGTTATAATTCAGTGTTAAACACTTAATATTTTCCACGAATAAATAGCTATTTTCCCTTAAAACTTTTTTTTCTAATTTTCATGTTAAATTACAGCTTAAACATCAATAGTTGTTCTGTGCTGTGCAGCAGTCTTTTGTCATCTAAAGGACACCGTAGGAAACCAAAGGAATCAGTTTTCATAAGTATGTTATAAGTAATTGTCTAGTAAATTTTTACTTGTGTTGCATTTTATAAAACCAGACAATTAACAATAGAGTTTGTGTGTATGTGTCAATAGTTTACAAGTTCCTTAAACATATCCTTACGTAGAAAGTGCGGTTTTGTCGCTAGTGTTTTTTTTGAATTTAAAGTGTTGTTTTACGTATTATAATTAATTAGTGCAACAAATTAGCTATGTTATTACATAAACATCACATCAGTACTTATTCATACAAAATTACATTTATTGCAGATTTCTAAAGAATATACAGCAGAAAATTAAGTGGGAAGACGTGAGACTTGAAAGGCGAAAAACAAAGCCGGCTGTAATCAACTCCTTTTGAGGAGACTTTCTATGATAGAAGTAGACAAACTGTAAGTGTTACAGAAGGTGCACTTTCTACCAAATTTAACTTTCCAAACCACTTACAACCTGCAAATAATTACACCTCAAAAAGTGGAAACATCTGTTTCAGATAGTATATGTACTATATATAACTTATCACATGCATACTCTAAGTAAAAACCCATCTAAACTCAAGCGAAAGTATAGTGCTAATACTGGATAAATTCGAAGAATCTCGTAAACAATCCAAAGTTACTAAACAGCCAGCCAGAAGATTGTCAATGAAAGTAGCGTCACATGATGAAATACTTTCTGACTTGAGTAGTCAGAAACTTTTATTAAATAGTATAACAAAGTTACTATAGAAAGCCTTTTCTGGGAGTCCTTTAGATACGGTAAAAATACTGTTGCGATACATGACTGGGACACTATAAGATGTATATTCCCACAATTTCGAGCATTTGCATCGACACTACAATTCTATTCTCCTCAAGCATATGAATATATCAGGCAAACGTTTGATATATGCGTTCCACACCCCAAAACTATGCAACAATGGTGTAAATGGGGAACCTGGTTTTAATAAAGACGCTTTTAGAGCATCAAAGGAGAATACAAAAGAGAAAGGCGGAGAGATGAGGTGTGCTTTGATAATGGTTGAAATGGCCATTAGCAAACATATGGAATGGGATGATAATCAGTACAATGAATTAGTGGCCATGGATACAAAGCTGGATGATGACAGTCTTCCTGTTGCAAAGGAAACATTGGTGTTTATGGTTGTATCTTTAACAGAGAAGTGGGAAGTGCCAGTTAAATACCTAATGATTGATAGTCTAGGTGGAATGGAAAGATCTAACCCAGTGAAGTAGTGTCTTATTTAACTTCATGATTGTAAAGGGGAATATTCTTGCACTTGCAACATAACAATGATCAACCACTTGGAATATAAGTTGAGTGTTCACTCCAACACTACATCACTTACTCACCCAAGTAATCCAGCCAATCAAATACAAATAGAACTAGATACATGTCACATGCTGAAGCGAAGCTTTTGAAAAATTTGCTTGCTAAAAAAGTCTTCTAGCAGATGCGAATAGCCAATTCATTAAATGGGAGTATGTGGAAAAACTTAATGAAGTACAGAAACAAGAAAGAGTACCAGCTGGAAATAAACTTACACATGGGCACGTGGAATGGACCAAGCAATAAGTGAAGGTAAATCTCGCAGCACAGACTCTAAGCTTCTCAATTACAAATGTGATTTTAATCTATAAAGGATGTATTGCAACAGTTAGGGTACACCATTACTCTCGATTGACTATTTAATATACTAAATAGTCGTAACCTTCGGTCATGCAGTGAGTTATTATAGTTACGAAGACCATTTGTAGAAAAAGCTCGGGGTTATCTGAGTGGTTTTGGAGCTTTTGATATCAGATGGTTGAAGAGTAGTTGTGGATAAAAGTTATGGTATTCTAGGATTTATAACTTCCAAAACCAGTGTATGCAACCTTAATGATTGAGTCAAGACCACCTGGAGTTATCTTTTTCTAATTAGAGATCTCAATCCTACAGCAAGACCATTCAAAGCAGCCTACAAACGACTTGTTGTACATAAGGAAATCAAAGAAAGTACTGTACAGGAAACTGCACTAGGCTGGTCTCCACCAGACTTCTGTTTATTAGGCAGCAAACTGAAACTTTTCAGCAGATGGATGATTTAGATTCAGTGACCATAATAAGAAAATATGGCTCTGGTCAACCTTTTCAATTTACCAGTTATCCTGATCATTATTACCACTGTCTTGTGATCGTAAAAGGCTAACTCACTTTGATGAAAATGTGGCTGTGTGTATTGGGAGATTTGAATTTAAATTTCTGGTAAGAAAATTATCATGTACAGTTTGCAAAAAAGCACTTCGTGATAAGAGTCAGGATGTTAGTGAAACACATTTCAGTGGGATGTATTTGTTGAAACCGTGAGCAGATGTAATTAAGATATACAAAGGATCCGCAATATATTTTCGCAGAGTGTTGTATCAACAACCAAGTTGCTGTTATCATACATCTAGTAGAGAGTGATTTATTTACATGCCTACATCATCATCATCATATGCTACATTCAGAATCTACATAACAAATCATCGTGTCTTTTTGCTGAAACAAGTTACCACACGACTGTTTCACTATGGTAAAGTTTACAATCATAAAGTCTTGGTTGAAAAACAAGCAATTTTTTCAAACGACAATGACACTAATCTTAACTATGTAGTAAAAACAGACAATTGAAATAAATGGATTTAACAAATTGGTCTAACCATCTCCAGTTATTTTTTGTTTTTTTACTGCGGGCAAAAGCTTTGTAAATACCATATTATTAGTTTGCAGTTAACTTGCAATATTAAAACATTATTTTCAACAAAGCTCTAGGTGTAAAGATTTGTATAATTAAAGTTTGAAACGTGTATTCATTTTAAAATCATTAAATACGTTTTACACGAGTCTTGTACGTTTATGTACATATACACTTCTACTTATAAAATAAATCTTCTAAAATTACATTTTCTTAATTATTCAAAGATACAATTATGCATTTTTTAACGTTTAGCATTGAACTTGCTCAAACTTGATCCTTTTCACTAGTTGTTTTTAGAAAACCATCAGTATTTATTTTTAATATACAGGAAGCCAAAGTATGTTACTTCTGTTCAACTCTTTTAGCATATAGAGATGAGTGATTAAAGGCCAAACATTCTTTTGAAATACGATACCATTAACAGTTAAAGACGCAGATTTACGAAAACTAGGATAATATTGTTATAAGCTAAATGTTTAATGTTATAATTTGTTTCTTACCTAGAGGGCGCATTTAAGATCAAGTAAGTTTGTTGGAGTAGGCCTAGAACGATCCAGATGATGTAACGCAAATCTAGTAAACATTTAGAACAAGGATTAATTATAAAAACAAGAATCGGCGAGTGGTGAACTGTGAATGAGTACTGAGTTTGTTTTCTTTTCAATCATTTAGTGAAGCATAGGGATCTCTTACTTATTACGTATATTCAGTTACCTGATCAATTAACCGTGACATTTTACAAGTAACTATGTTTTTACGTAAAATTTCTCGAGATCTACAAGTTACAATAATGTACAAGGAAAGTCTACAAGTGTTAAGGAAGAAATAAGTTAATTTGTTATCGTTACATGAACTGAATTTGGCATTATTTTCACCTAATAAGTTAAAAGGACCGCCCAATAAAAGAACAACGTTAAAAAAATATTAAACTCAAAAATAATATATTGATAACATAGATAAATGTGTGTGTGTGTTGACATTTTCAGGTGAATAATCACTTTAACAGAGCAAACGGCCATATAAATAAATTAATGAATATCACCTTATATTCGTAACTACAGTTAATAATAGTTCGTATAACGTTTTAAATACAAAATGCTATATTCTCTAGTCTAGTACTAAAATGAAAGACTGCTGAAAATTCCTTTATTATAATTAGATCAAACTCGGCTAGCCTCCAGTAAGATGGCAGTGATTTTGTCTCGGCTACGCCTATTTTGGTTCTGATGTTAATATTCCTTCCACTCAAGAGTTCAGTGGTCGTTACAATAATTTATTATAAATCACTCCCAGTCGACATTATGTATAGTTATCTAAGCCAGGACAAAAAAAAATACTGATAAATTCGAATTAAAATATAAAAGTTTTATTACTGAAACATCTTATTTTGCTGTTGTAGTAATTTCTTAAGTTCGTTTTGAACAGACACTTCCAACAGTTTACAACCCATAAAGTCAAAACAGTATATTGATAAATAATATAACAACTAGAAAATAATATATAAATTTAACATTATATTAATGATACCATATTTTTACATATATTGTTCTCAGACGCCTTCAAATCCCACATCGACTCGATCCCATTGTATTTTTACTATCCACGTCACTTCCGGTCGAGGAAGAAACTCCACTGTTAGAAAATCTAGACTTCATCTTGTGGATTTAGCAGGGTGAGCAGAACACTATGTTATTAGATATTTTCATTGTCTTTAGTAAACCACGATAATGTCTTAAATACAGTTTTAGGTCATGGAATATTCGGGCAATTGAATAAAAGAGGTGTTTCAAGAATAGCTGGATGTAATAAATACATATGTCTTCAACAAACCTAAATAAAGTGCAAATAATCTGAGGTGTTTTCATTTTTTGCTTCTTGCTTCTGGCTTTCTAACTGTTATTAATATTAATACAGAGTACTTATAAAGAAAGTTTCGCAGTTCAGAACGTAATATCTCACAAACGGCATAGGAAGGTGAAATTGTGTTGAGAATATCATGCGGATGCAAATGCCACAGTTGATACATGTTACCACCAGAGGCGCCACTATGACTTAATATCTGATCAACCACAGCAACTAGTCAAAATGTGCACCTTTAGAGCCCAGAATGCATTGCATCTGTGTGACAACGGATATTACAGCAACAACACGCATCTCAACAGTTATGTTGTCTTATTCCCGGACAGTTTCATCCTTGAGGTCTGGAATTCCAAAGTATACGCGTGACTTCTAGTACTTTCACAGCCAGAAATTAGGTGTTGTTAGGTACGTGAACGAGGTGGTCATTCACAAGGAAAGCTACGTGAAATTATAATCTCCTGAAATTCGTCCCACAAAACATGTTTCACCTGGTTACCAATATATAAAGGGACACCATCTTGCACGAAACCGTAGTGTGTAAAACATTTCATTGCTTCAGCAAGGGGAATCACATTAATTGTAAGTTTTGCATGGTGCTATGCAGGTTTGTAGTCTATGTTCTAATAGATCTTCAAACAATTAAATTACAATAACAAACTCAACTGTGAAACCACACCTTAGCATCATAGAGATGTCTGAGATATGTAACATGTGTATTAGTTTCCAACCAGATAATGTAGTTGCGGGTGTTGACACTTCCAAAAAGGATGAAGTGTACTTCATGAGTCCATAAGATACTGGCAGGTTATTGGTCATCGACTTTCAGTCTTGTCAAGAACTTCAGTGCATAATCATCACGGCGGGTTAAATCCGTCTCCTTCAATGCTCGAACATGACGTAGGTTGCAAGGAAACATTCGCAAAGTTGACCAAAAAGCCTTACGAACAGCTGAAATTGGCAAATCTATACACCAGGCGACACTTCAGTGGCTTGTACTACTACAACATAGCTGACATCAGCGATAGTTTCATAGATATCAATGGTTGGCATATTACAAGTGAAGTATGTCTCCTCATATATTTTTCTGAACTTGTACACTGTAATATTAGAACAAAGCCTTCTGAGGATGTTATACGCTCTAGAGAGCAGCCTCGGCATTGCATTATTTGATGTAATAATTTATCACTAGTTCACCTCTTCATACTTGTCAATTTCGTGTTGGTTGAATAAGGTGTATTTGAAAATATGCGATAGAAACTATAATAGTGCCCCTGGTGAGAATATGTAACAACTGTGGTATTTGCATTCGCATGATATCCTTAACATTGTACATTTCCACCTGCCTATGCCATGACATTTGTAAGGTATGGCATGTTGAACTGCAAAACTTTTTTTTTATAATCACCTTGTATATTCCAAATGTTCAAAAGGAATGGCTTTTTATTTGATATTTTTGAACACCGAAACATGAATTATAATCTCTTCTATGATAACACAGCCATGAAACTGAGAACTCATACATGTAATGATATTGAGGACTCATATGTGAAATAGTACTGAGGAGTCATACATGAGCTAAAAGCCTCCTCGGCACGAAGTACAACATGTGAGATGCTATCGATCACTTTTCTCTGACTAGAACAAAGTATTGTTTAAAATTACTATAACTATTATGTTTCATCGCGTGTGTTACGTAAACACAAACTAGCGTATCCAATAAAATAAATACATGTCCTCGGTTTAGTTAAAGAAGATAAAAGTTCGAATCCTGCTTTGGTTTGGTTTTCGATCCACTTCTTTGCTATGTTCCATGGGCCGATGTAACACTTTCCATTAAGAACAACTGGACTTATATTATTCTGAAATAAATACAGTCTCTTTCATGATATAGAATTGAAATTAAAATTTCTTAATGACTCCAAATAAAGAGCTTCTAAAGGATTTTTTTTTTCCGTTAGATCAGAGAGAGTGTGTAAGACTGGAACGACGGGGCTTTTATTAACAGAAGCTAAATATATAAACCTCTCCTTGCATTACCTGGAACAAGTATGTATAATGTCTTTTTATTGTATAATAACAAGTGTTTTAACCTTTAAAATATATGTTTCTACACATATGTATATCGATATATACGTATATGTGTACATTATTTTTTCTACACGTCAAAGGAGAAAGAAAAGTATTATGACAAGTGATTTTTAAGTTGGGAAGAAAGAAAAAAAATTAAATTTTCATGAACACTAACAGTATCCAATCTTTTTTTTTTTTTGGAAGTGTTATTGGGATGTCTTAGCGAAATGCTACATAATCGGTTATCTGCGCTCTGTCCGCAGCGGACCCTAGTAAGTCTGGAAACTTTCCGCTGACCTACTGGAAGACCTTTTAGAAGAAGTTATTATATTACTCACTTAGGTTAACATTATATCGATTTTTGTGGTTATGGTCTTAAGAAACTGATCTACATTACTTAAGTCGATTAGTGTTACTTATTACTGACATGTCGTTATTCCAAAAACGTTACAGTCACTACAACAGAGCCTTCTCGAGTTTAATGACCAGTGGTGTTTTATTTCGTTTTGACTCATAATCTAGACCTACAATTTGAAAGTATGTGAACAAAACGCTCTCGAGAATGAGACTACATATTTACATCCATGTTTTTTTTCTTTTGTTTTTAACCTCTGTGAATTTATTTCATTAGATAATCTAGCATGAGAAATACAAAACACGTGAACCCGTGCAGTCCAAAATGGTACATACGATAAACTTCTGATACACTGGATACATATTGTATCAGTTAACCAGGTAACATTATGTTACTTATAAGAAATGCAATAGAAAGTTTTCCCTGATCATCTTTACATAGACTCTTATCCTTCTGATTTAATGTAAGGACCAATGTATGAGCAGCCAGTTTTAATCAAGTCTGTTGTTATCAGTGTGTAATTTTCACTAAACATTTGGCCATAAAGATAGCCGTTGTATATATATATATATAAGCTGCTTTTACTTGTCAAGGTAATGAAATTTTCATTGGTATTCTTGCTTTAAACATTATCATCACAACAGTTACAGTTTTGTATTATGTCGTGTTGCTTACGTTATCCAAAACTTTCTCTGCTATAGTTCTTCTATTTCATTTTTTCCTCCTCCGAACCAGGTGATCGTAGCTTTATCTGAGCAACACAGATCTCACATTCCGTACCGAAACTCAATGATGACGTGTGTTTTACGTGACAGTCTCGGTGGAAACTGTATGACTAGTATGATCGCTACTCTAGCTGTCGAACCCCAGAACTTGGAAGTAAGTGGGTATTTCTCTCCAGATTTAGACAAATAGGTACTGAGTAAACATCTCGTTCTACTGATCATATACAAAAATGTTATCATAAAAAACTGTGTTTTACGTATGTTGTATAGTAGCTTCTTCACTTTAAAGCTGTCGGTTTAAACATACTGAAGTGATTACACAATTAAAAACTTATTCAACGACTCCCATTCTCCAGTACGTGACGCTTATCTATGAAAATAACACTAACTACCCCATAAAACGCTCAAAACTGTAAGGAACCATTTCAAAACATATCCCAGAATGCTTCAAAAGAACAAAACCTTTCCTAGCCCTCCGTTCCTGGCTTTAACCCTGTTTTCTTGGGTATTTCAATATTTTAAACGACATGGGAGTCGTTAATAATAATATACTTCACAGATTATATTCAGTAGTAGAAGCAATGAAAGTTTACATAAATATCAGGCCCGGCATGGCCAGATGGTTAGGGTACTCGACTCGCAATCTGAGGGCCGCGGGTTCGAATCCCCGTCACACCAAACATGCTCGCCCTTTCAGCCGTGGGGGCGTTATAATGTGACGGTCAATAC